ATGTAAATCCTTATTCACTGCAGAAACAAATGACTATTGAATAGTATTATTTAAGTTAAGGCAAGGTCTATACAAGTTCCAGCAGTAGGGACAATAAAAGCTGGTGATGATGATGCAGCTGCAGTTCTCCGTGCTTAAAACAAGACCACTTACATGTTTAATTTGATTAATACCTGTCGTTGCTATTCATTTATTAATAAAACCAATAAAGCGATGCAAATAGTAAGCCGAATGATGAATAGTCAATGCAGATACGTTATGTTAGCATATGCGGAGGGCGAGTTAATTGCGAAATGCAATGTACGTTTGTAAATTGCACGGAACGATCGCTGCGGCCGTATGCGGGCTCATTACAATAACCTAGCGTTTAATTGAATCACAGGAATGTTACCTGTGGCGTACGCATTCCAGCATAAGTTTGTGTCTCGGTAACTAAACATAATAAGCCAGATGGAAAAAAAAGTGTTGTTCTATATGCAGGTACGTGGACTCGTAGCAGAAGAAAATTTTTAAACCCTATCTTAGACACACTGCGACGCTGAGGCTGTACAAACGGCTTCTTTAAGTACTAATTTGAAATCTGATAGGTATTATTATAATATACTTAAATTGGTCAGTGCAAAAAAGTCTCTCCAAAAGAAGATTAGCAATGAGGCGTGATTTAGGAAGATGTACCTAAATTCTCCGAAACTGTTCACTGTGACGTTGTAGGATATTTGCAAGTTTCTGGATTAAAATGGATTGCATCAATATCAATGATAAGTAAGTTTATTCCGTTAGCAGATGATGTAAGTAGTACTTAATTTCAGAAAACTTTATCATAATACATCAATCTCAAATGTTTTCAAAACAGTGAGTTTAAAGATGTACATTGAACATATAGATAAGACTAGAATCATTTCAAATATCTATGTACACGGCTACTGCTCTCGTTAAAATTAGGAACAATATACACAAAGTAATTGACCATTACATAAACTTGGGACAGACAGTACAGTTAGGTGTCTATCTTTGAGAAAGTGATCCCTTGTCAAATCTAGCTGGGATGGTCAGTGTTTGGGAAATCACGAAAAATGTTTGAGTACCAAACCAATTACCCCAGTGTCAAGATGAAAGCTTTTTAATGAATGTTGCCAGTAATGACTAACGGATGCGAAACGTGTTCGTTACTATGTATCTATTATAAAGGCTCAAGAGTCAACGTCACTAACACAGCGGGTAATGCTGAGGAATAGATATGAGAAAATCCATGGGAGAATTTAAGTAAACAACGTCGCTCGAAGCGTTTCTGGCAATCGGTGATACACTTAGAGGCGCGAAATGGCTGTAGGGGTAGAATTTTTCTCCAAACATGATCCCGTGAGCAGGTCGCCCAGGTGGAAGAATGATTTGACTGTTGAGTTTCGAGATCGTAAGAGAAGGCCTGTACTTAGGAGTGGGCGATTTATGACTTAATGATGATGATCTATTAATCAATTCAGTTAAATAAATATATTAATACCATTTTATTTTGATAAGTACTGTTTTTCTTTAACGTCCGCTTCCAATTAATTACCTACATATCTATGTAAAGAATCTTCTTTGTATCCATTTCCTATTCAATAACATGCTATTTTACATACAAAGCAACCTCAGTTGGTAATTAGTGGACTATTAAAGTCACTATTAAATAGCAGCGCCAAGTTTTAGTAATGTGTGAACGATTCCCCGCACCCCCTACATGTAAACCCCAAACTCGAAAATGAGTTTCTGCGTTAAGAAAGGATTTTGTAACAGAGGCCATTACAGGTTCCAATTAGATCCCCGTGTTTAGAAGTAATTTCGCGGTAAAATTAGAAAATTAATTTTAAGGTGGAGCGGTCCTAGTGACAACATTGTGCGGCGCCATCCAGCTACAAGGCGTTCGTTTTACAGCAATACCATCTCGGTTACTACGATATAAATTACTTTTCATCCGTTTCCGGGTTTCTTTCATTTCGGCGCCTTAATACGTTGGCGACGGCCGACCGGCTGCGTCGGCGAAATTATACTGCGGGGTCAGTTCGGTAGCCAAGTCTCTATCAAATTCTCGGCTCGGCAGTAATAAAACGAAAATAATAAGAACCGCCTCCACCCGGATATTTATGTGCACTCCACGATATTAACTCAACTTTTATTTCAGACCCAGGTATAGATAACTAGGGTGCGATAGGTCGGCCCTAAAATTAATTAGCTGGTTTAAGTTTCCAGAAAAAGTTTTTATACACATATGGGTTTGCAGTGTCGCGTCGCAAGCGCTACTCTTGTTCGGACAGCTCCGTGAATCGATATAATCGATCCGGCCATTAGAGCGACTCGCGGTCGCTCCATAATTACAGCATTAACAACATGCACGTCCTGAAATGGACAAAACATGCCAGCAGCCGCACGCCTTAACATCGCCTTCGTGCGGCATTCTGCGGAAAAACACAGTGATTCTTGAATTGTTGTTGGTAAAACGAGCGGGTTTTTTTTTATCTCCAAGAAACTCGCCGCACCTATGCATAGGTTCCGAGAACATCAAGCCACAAACTGCATTGAATTGATCAAAATCATGTTTCGTATAAACACTACATTATTGGCCATCACACGTGAAATACCTGTTAATATCGCACCTTTTTATCGGTTGTAAGCCAAATCAGGCAGCTGAACTAGATTTTGTGAGAAAGGGATACATTAATGATAGCGTTGTTGTTTTATTTATATTGCTTACACACGAGGTCGGGAGCCGGCGGCGGGTCCGTGGGCGGGCGCTTGTTAGATCCCTGCAGCGTACTAATTGCGAATTGCGACGCCCGGACGCCGTACGTCATCTTTATTATTTTATTATTAACGAACCACCATTAATATAGTCCAATTAACTTTATTGTCGCGACGTCGGCTCCAATAAACGAGATGTATCGGCGTCGGCGGCCGCCGGCCGATGCGCAAGTGATCGATTGGCATGAGTTATGTCCACCTAGTTACCCCTTCAATTGGATTCTTGATTGGTCTGACGTATGCATTATTATGAACAGTTATAAATTGAAACTGATCATTATCTAAGATCTCTATATTTGTAAATCTTTAAGACCCAATCACAGTGTTATCGTAACATGATAGATTAATTTATCACGGTGAATAAATAAAAAAAATAAGACAGCTTCCTAATTAACATTATAGCTATGCCATACCCATATTTCGACATTCAAGGCCAGGACGCAAAAGATACTAATAGTAGTAATATAGTTACTAGTCTTATTATGATAATATTAATGACATATTAATCATAATGACATATTATAGTCGTACTTTTTCCTATGTGAATAAAAATGCGTGTGTGTTTATGACATCAGCAGCGCACAATGACTGCGTGTCACGCGGTCTGACTTTGCTCGAATTAATTGACCACAATTATGCACTAGAAAACAATCAACTCCAACTTAATTCTTTAATGAGTCGCGTATTACAAACAATTACCCATTTGTAGCAGCATTCATTACTAGCGTCCATAATTTATTTTAAATTAACCTCTTCTTACGTTGAAATCATTATTACTGTCTTCATTAATATTGAAATGGGCTGAAAACTAAATGCGTAAATTATTATTATTTTATGTTTAGATTAAATTAATTAAAGATCATAGGTTAGTCATTATTTCAAATTACATTTTCTAATTGATCATGTAAACGTTTCGAATGTAAAAAAATACAAAATACAACATCCTCCTCGCGCAACACTGACAGACTATTAAATGCTCTTCTTACTACCGCGCATTATTGGTACCATTCGGTGCCAGTACGAAAAATATCATTGATCGGAGTTAACTGCACCGCTTAATTTGAAAGAAAGCGAAATTAATGAGAAATTTCGTCAAAAAATAAGGACATTATTACTTCAACAGTTTGACAGTTTGTTAATAATTGCTTCGGGAAACCAAAAATTTACATTCACATTAAAATGAAACTCGTAACTGTTAACCTTAAATTTTTTTTCATCAAATTTAGGTACTTATATTAAGGAAAATGAGGTAATCGGTAAAATGCTAGGAGATGACCTAATATTTGGTAAATTGCAAGTTTTAAACGCAGTGTTTATCTACAGAAAAAACAAGTGAACTCTATTTCAAAGCGATAAAATATAAGCCTATTTTACGCAGGGATTAATGTATTCTAATTGTGAAAGAACTTTTGAAATCACGCGGTACCCCGGATTGGGTCAGGGTAGCCAACTTGCGCGAGTGATAGTTTTGGTATCGCAGGCGTATATAAGCTATGGTGGCCGCTTATCATCAAACAGGCTGTATGCTTGTTCGACCCTGTCTTAACATAATAAATAAAAATTAATATATATTTCCAACACTCACACCAATTAACCTAGCCCCAAAGTAAGCACTGTAAGGCTTGTGTTATGGGATGCTAGGGCAACGGAAAGAATACATATACTGTACATATATAAGTATACTAGCTGACCCAGCGAACTTCGTACCGCCATAAAAAATAGGGGTTTATTGTAAAGGGTTGAAAAAAATTAAATAATATATATTTAAAATTGAAAAAAAAAATATAGGGGTGGATTACCCTTAACATTTAGGGGGATGAAAAATAGATGTTGTCCGATTCTCAGACCTACCCAATATGCACACAAAATTTCATGAGAATCGGGAAAGCCGTTTCGGAGGAGTTTAACCACAAACACCGCGACACGAGAATATTATATATTAGATATATATAGAAATACATATTAAATATCCATGACTGGAGTACAAATGCCCGTATTCATCACACAAACGTCTGCCAACACCGGGATTCGAACCCGGGACCTCTCGAGTCGGCGACACCATGAAACCCGGCGTACAAACCACTCGGCTACGGAGGTCGTCAAATAAAAAAGTTGGTCGGGTATTTTATGCGTTTATTAGTTTCAAACATACAAAAAGCAAATCTTTTCTCTTAAGTTTAGGTGAAACTGAGTTTATGGAAGACAATCCTTTTTTACGCCAGGTCAACAAGATGAGAGCAAATACGGGCTCAACAGTAGCGTGTCTGGCAACCCGGGGGGCGCGCGGCTGTGCGCGCAGTGCGGTAAGGTCATCACCGAGAGATTCCTGCTGAAGGCTATGGAGCGGTTCTGGCACGAAGATTGTCTAAAGTGCGGCTGCTGCGACTGCCGGCTGGGCGAGGTCGGCTCCAAGCTGTACTACAAAGCCGACCTCATGCTCTGCAAGAGGGACTACCTTAGGTAATTTTCTTTTATTATATTTTTGAAGTGTAAACTTCTTTAGCGGCGTTGTACACTTTTTTTGTATGGATAAAAAATGTTAAACACGCTTCAGGTTAAACACGCGTCAGGTTAAACACGTGGGCTGATCGCATCGTGACACACAATAAAATTGGAAAGGTTGTTGACTTTCAATATATTCGACGAAACATAGTAATATTTTATTTTATCGTATTATAATAATAAGTTCCTATCTAGGACGACCACGTGGCAGCTTTATTGCGAAGAAAATGCGTTTTTTTTACAATAGATGTCGCTAGGTGCGCTTAAATGTGATTCATGTAAGTTGATTTCTTTACAATAGATGTCGCTAAGTGCGCTTAAACGCGATTCATGTAAGTTGATTTTTCTGAGAGATAAACTTTTTTAATGTAATATAAATTGTCATGTTTGTGTACGATTGCGCAATAAATAAATATTGCATTCTACCACATACATGATAGTACTTTTATACTGATAATTAAAGAAATTCGTGCAAAATTATTCACTAACCATTCCAAAATATCAAAAATGCACAGCGTTAATATTCAACTTTTCACTTCTGCCGGCACTCCCGGAGTGAAATCCGTCGTTTTTTTTAATAGCAGTTTATATTTCAATTTAGAGAAAGCCGTGTCAAATGTTTTCTAGTATTTCTAAGTTGCAAGGCAGCTGCTGCATCGCGTTCAATTTTTAAAATAAAATAAATAAATTCAGAACAACTCGATAATACACGAATTAAACAATGCCATTGATGCGATAAACAGGGACTTAAACGCTATCAAAACATGGTCAGACAATTTTGGTGTCACTGTCAATGCTGGTAAATGTCAAGCTATATTAATCGATGGATCAAGAATAATGAGCAGAATTGACAACAGCAATCTTGGGTCTATCTTCTATGACGGCACTTTGATACCTTTTAGTAATGTTGCAAAAAATCTCGGATTCTATGTCGACTCAAATTTCAAATGGCAAGATCAGGTTGGTAGAGTCTGTCTAAAGGTAACTGGTAATTGCATGCTCTCTACCGCTTAAAAAAATTTTTGCCAATCAACATCAAGGCAATGCTTGTGCAAACTTTGATTTTTCCCATAATCGACTATGGTGATGTGTGCTATCTCGATCTGAATGCAGATCTACTCAATAAACTTGATCGACTTCAGAATAACTGCATTCGATTTGTTTTCAATTTTAGAAAATATGACCATGTGTCCGCATACCGATCTCTTCTAAAATGGATGCCTATTAGGCAGCGCAGAAGTATGCGGGCTCTGACCACTCTGTTCTCCTTGCTGGAATCTCCAAATGCCCCTTTCTATCTCACTTCCCAATTTCAGTACTTATGTACCTCACATGCTAAACATCTTCGATCTTCTTCTAATCGCTTACTTATTGTTCCATCACATCGCTCTGATATGATTCACTCGTTCTTCTTCGTCAAAACTATACTTCTGTGGAACGAACTCCCCCTAGATATTAGAATGTCCACCAACAAAATTAGCTTCAAAACCAAGCTACGAAGCTTTTTAAAGGAACAAGCAGTCTAGCTTAAACGTTAGTCGTCATTATTATGTATTAGTATGTATATTTATATATGTATGTATGTATATGTATAGTTATTTATATGTAAGTAATTATTTATGTATGTGTGATTATATATATGACTGCTTCATATTTATATATGTTCTTCTTTCTGTAATTTCCATGTAAGTTGTGCACCCTACCACTATTTATCCACCACACCCTATGGTTGACTGGTAGAGAATGCCTATGGCATTAAGTCCGCCTTTGTACACTTGTGCATTAGGTATAAATAAATAATAATTTTGAGCCATACTAAACCGAGTATGTATGATGGAAGCAAAATAACGTATTAATACATATTTAAGTTTGGAAACTTGGGAATAAGTATTTGTGCTTATTACAAACACACACATCTGGTTTTCGAACTCAAGAGCTTTGGCACAGAGAACACGGCCGGTGCTGTTAAATTATAATTTAATAATAAAATAATAATAATAATAATTTTCAAACGTGATCGTCATCACCATCCATCCTACTAACTTACATCGTTTTTAATTCTGTAGAGAAGGACGTTTAGAAGTTAACTGTACATCGATTTATTGATTTTAAGAATACAGGCCCAGAATCCACCGATCATTCTAACATTCAGTACCCCTAGCACGAACCAATATCAAATTAGTAACGTTTGCGAGTACGTAATGTCATTGTCAAGTGTGTACTGATTTTTAGTACTCGTTACGTCTGTTATGGCTCTGCTGTTCAAGTTTCCATACAAAATTTTACAATGACATTGCGGACTTGCAAACTATTCGAATTACAGAATGGTTCGTGTTAAGGGTACAGTTTATTTGAAAGAAATAACGTGGCAGTGACTTCTTCTAAATCATTATTATTTAATTATTATTAATGCTCAATAACTCTCTATAATTTTGTAAACGAAACCAGTAGGCCTATTCGCTAACGGTTTTTGACAAATAGAAGTGATAATCACCGAGCTATTATTACTGATCGATTACTGTTTTATTGTAACGGCACTAAAATACTTGCCCTGAAAAGCATCGATAGATATGCAATTTGCTCTTAAGTGACACACTGTAAATGGCAAAAAAGCCGGCCAAGTGCGAGTCAGACTCGCGCACCGAGGGTTCCGTACAAACCTGAATTATTAAAAATATTTTTTACTATATGATGTAACTAAAAATTTACGGTTTTCACAATTTTTCCTTTATCTGTAGCATAAGACGTTACTTCGTACCAAATTTCAAGATTCTAAGTTGACAGGAAGTACACAGTCAGGTCATAAGTATTGTCACACAGTAGAAACTTTTCTTTTAGAATACTGGCCACAAAAAAGTTTATTGAATTCGAATTGTTCATGGAAATAAAAACGTACACTTTTTAGAATTTTACTCATTTTTAAATATGGAGTGGACGCTTAAAGAAGACCGTGTTGCAGTTATTGCGTTGCATCAGTGCGGTTACGCGCCAATTAAAATTTTTGACATACTGAAAATTTTTAATATAATCAAACCGTCTATCAAACGATACAATGAAGTCTCTAGTGTAGATGACAGGTCAAGAAGTGATCGCCCTCAGTCTGTTAGGACTCCAGCAGTGATAAAAGCTGTGAAGGCGCGAATTCAAAGAAATCTCAAACGTAAGCAGAAACTGTTGGACCTTCAGATGGGGTTAAGCAGAACCACGGTGAAAAGGATGTTAAATGAAGACTTAGGGCTTCAGGCAGGAAGGAAAACAGGACATCGTTTGAATGCTCGTCTAATGGACCTTGGACTGAAGAGATGCCGTGCTTTGTTGAAGCGGTAGGCGGGAAAAAAATATCGGGAATATCTTTTTTCGGATGAAAAAATTTTTACCGTAGAAGAGACAAGACCTGTACAAGCAAACAAAATGATAAGGTGTACGGACACAGTAGTGAAGAAGCGAGAAACCGTATTCCGTGTGTCCAACGAGGTCATTTTCCATCCTCGCTCATGGTATGGTTGGGAGTTTCTTATTGGGGCTTAACAAAGGTACATTTTTGTGAGAAAGGTGTAAAAACGAATGCAGTTGTGTATCAAAATACAGTGGAACATGTTTCTCATACCATGTTCAATAACAGGCACTGGGTATTCCAACAAGATTCGGCGCCAGCTCATAGAGCGAAGAGCACACAAGACTGGCTGGCGGCGCGTGAAATCGACTTCATCCGGCACGAAGACTGACCCTCCTCCAGTCCAGATTTGAGTCTGTTAGATTACAAGATATGGCAACACTTGGAGGAAAAGGCGTGCTCAAAGCCTCATCCCAATTTGGAGTCACTCAAGACATCCTTGATTAAGGCAGCCGCCGATATTGACATGGACCTCGTTCGTGCTGCGATAGACGACTGGCCGCGCAGATTGAAGGCCTGTATTCAAAATCACGGAGGTCATTTTGAATAAACTTTATTGTCATAAGAATCTGTTTTGTTAAGTTCATTTTGGTATATAAATGGTTACATAATGAATAAAATTGTTTCAATTATTTTGTATTAAACATGTGACAGAATTTATGACCTGACTAGGTATACCTTGTACCGGCATAGACGGCTGCATCTTTTGATTGCTTTGGCTTAGAAGTTTGATTTTTTCTCAGCTCCAAGGAACAGTCCACCTGAGTATTAGTTATGAATTTCATTTTGATACCTCCACGCGTTCCTGAGAAAAACGGTCTTGACAGACGGACGGACGTACAACAAAGTGATCCTATAAGGGTTCCGTTTTTGCTTTTGAGATACGGAACCCTAAAAAAGTTAGCGAATAGACCTGCTAGTATATATATAGTATTCTAATTAATATCCGTTAAAAAAATTATCAGAATGTTACATTGTGCAATTTAACTGCTCTTATTTTTATATAATTGGTTGTATAAGTAATTTATGAAACAAACCTTAATTATACTAGTAAAAAAGGTAAATGTTGCTCAAGTATTTACTTCGTTTCGAATTACTAACTACGGACCGGACACACCACAGCGTCCCAATTTGTTATTTAATGTGTTCACGTCGCTCGACGATTACAGTATTATAGTTCAGTTGCCGGAATCACTTAAATTGAAACGACTCTAAATGAGTTTTTATTCGATGTTGTTATTCATAAGACGTAATTTTACATTTAAGAGCCTGTTATTTTTTTACAGGTTATTTGGTGCCACAGGCAACTGTGTGGCGTGCAACAAAGTCATTCCCGCCTTCGAAATGGTTATGCGAGCCAAGAGTTTCGTTTACCACTTAGAATGTTTCGCTTGTCAACAGTGCAATCACAGGTAATTAGAGGCGTTTACTTTCTCTGCGCCCTGTCCGTTTAATCTTAATCGACTTTGAAACATCACTTTTTCATTCTCAATTTCAAACTGACGCTATGATTATGTATTAGTAAGTAATGTTTTTACTTGAGAGTTAAGTCGCCTCTAGTTTTGATTGTTTCATGATATCAATTGGTATGTTTAACAAATGTTTGTTTCACGTTGCAATTAGAGTAAAAATTTTAGTAAATATTTAAATAACTTAACAAATAAAGGAGATTGCTCAAATTGGCCTAAATGCACAAAAAATATTGACATACACGGTAATTCTTGGCGTAATTTATAATTTAATTTACAGTCATTAGATTTCAACAGACACTTTTGTATTATATATTCACTTTAAAAAGGACTTTTAATATTACCGGTTTGGAAAACATACGAATCTTTTTTAATGGCTATGGGTGTAGTAACATTCAGCCAAAGACTGATCGAAGTTGTTTATATAACATAAAAACAAATCTATTTTGTAAAGATCGATAAAATAATCATTTTTTTTATTACACTGTGGTAATATCCACCACTATATTATCATTTTCACTAGATGCAAATGTGCTCAGACAATTATTATAGATGGTAGGCGACATCATAAAGTCTATTGAAATACATTTTTCGCCAAACACCTCCATAAACACATTATAAACTGTCTATACCTTAAAGTCTAACGTGTTATGTTAGACTTTAAGGTATCTATCTATGGGCCTACGTTCCCTGACTATAAATTAGTAAAAAAATAAAATTATAAGGTGTGATACACTAAAAATCTCAAATATGGTTATCTCAAAAACATAACAAAAATAATGAAGCTACTGAATATATGGCTATAGAACCTAAATCTCTTAGCTTTCTTTGGTTAATTGGAGTTTAAAAATTCTCTCTAATCTGTGACTCATTCACAATCATGAAGGTATATAAAGATACACAATCATGAAGGTATATATACATCTTCATGTTCACAATCATCACACAGTTTCTGTCACAGAGTATCTTATTATAACCGGAAATGACAACTGATTTTAAAAGTTACTCTTATGCATTAACTTTAAAAACAGGCAACTATCTGTTAATCTACATGCTCTATATACCTGAATCTAATCCATAATTTCGGTACTTGGCTTGATTTCCCTAGTTTACTTTATAACTTATTTGTTTTTTATGATTTTAATATGTTCAGTGTATGTGGTTTATAGAAGTTCTCAGGGGTGTCCGTCAATTATATTCGTTTCTACAGTAATTTATATATAATTTCGAATCTAGGAAACAATTTTTCATGATTATTGGTCTTTAGGCCAAACATGTATGGAAGCTGAGCAATCTCCTTTAATATTTTATTGTTACAATCCTCAAATTATAATATTCATATAATCATTACGTGTTTAATAAAACTACTTATTTTTGTGCAGGTTCTGTGTTGGCGACAGATTCTACTTGTGTGACAATAAGATCCTTTGTGAATACGACTATGAAGAAAGATTAGTATTTGCCAGTATGGCTGCCAATCCAAGTGGGCTAGCGCACATTCGTCGGCAAGTCAGCGGACTACAGGTATATATTTCATTGTTCATCTATAATAAATAAATAAATATATATATAATAATATAAATTTTGGTCAACCAACCAATAATAAATGAAAGCGATTCTCCGCACGAATTGTAGACCATATACTATAATTATTATCGAGAAAGTACCAATACTATACTTTACAGGAGACTACAGGCAAATAAGATTTAGTTCATTATTATATACTGTAAGTATGGTTGCCAAAGTTCCATCAGGTTGGAGAATATGGATCTTGAACTCGAACCCATCACCTTTGGCCCTAAATTCAGGATCTCTAACTGTGACAAAAATCCTAATTTTGTTCCATTTTAAAAAAAATAGTTCCAAATTGAGCTGGCGTGTGATAGAATATGTAGGTCAAAGCTTTAAAACAAATTTAAAAAGAAACGAAATCAGTCTGTTTATTGTTATATCTACAACTGTATTTTGGTTACTTTCTTACAGATATTTTATAGTCTTATTGAAATGTATACGTCTAGACTGCCAATTATTTTAAATAGTTTGTGTGAATAGTCAGTTTTATCTATCGATTGACCTATTTGAACCTTTCTTAATTTAAATTTATGAAAATATGCCCCGCCGTATATACCTATAGGCCTTCAGTAAAGTTAAGATTATTGTTTTGTTTACGTGTCCAATGCTGAAGTTTGCAAGGCAGTATTTTATTTAATGGATGGAAACTCTCCAGATGTGGTGTCGATTCCCACAGTGTTTAAAACGTGCAACTACATGTCGCGGGCGTCGGCGCCTTGGTACCACCGTGTGAATCGCTGACGTGTCTAAAGGTGTCCACTAGGACCGGCGCATGAACCTCGTGTAGGTTATACTCAGCCGTCATTTACTTAATAACCATATAAGCTAACCATCTATAATTTGAATGCATGGTTCATAATATTTATCGATTCACTACGCATCAATTATGTACGCTTGTTTTGCAGTCTGAATTTACTCGAAGCAAATTACGCGACGGTCAGTGGTATACCTCAGCAGAATAACTTCCATTTTATGTCCTCATTCGGAAATACCTACTATTTTCTAAACATTTCCGTCTCAAATAAAAGGCACGTGAAAAAGTCGAGTCGGCGGAGTAAATAACTCCCACAAGGACACTGTTAGTGGAAGATTCTATCTTCACTTTATTATGTTTCTTTTGTGATCATTAATCTTTCTCGTACGAACGCTTGTCGGAATGCGAATGTGGGGGAATCTATTTCATTTTATGAGTCGCGCGAGTGGAGGAAACCCATTCAGCCGCACGACATTTCTAATCGACTTTTTGATTGCGCTCCCGATCTACTGTTGGAAACTTGACAAGTGGATAGGGAGAAGATTCAAATCAATCTTGCGGTTGTAATATTGTTTGATTTTTGTTTGGCAGTCGCCTAGCGGGTACGTAGCAGGTGCGGGGGGGTGCGGGGCGGTGGCGGGCGGGGCGGGGGCGGCGCTGGTGGACAAAGATGGTGGCGGCTGCGCGGGCGCTGACGACGCCTCCAGCGGGTACGGCAGTCCGCCCGACCCCGACGTGTGCGATGCTGCGCGATGACCGACAATGCCGCGCCGACTTCTCGCCTCGGTTCGTTAAAAACTAACTCTCGTTGCTATAATATCTATGTATATTAATATTTTTACGACTGGCTGTAACACACATATATATCATCTCGTAAAGGGATCGACATCGTATTAACTCGAGCCGTTCAGTATTCTTTGTATAAAACTGCCTATTGCAACGCACACTAATCGGAATCGTAACGTAATCCACGCCTCGGGATAAGCTCCCCAACGTGCGTAGTCAACTCTCCGTAGCCTAGCGTACGTAGCTCTGTACCACTTTTTTTCGATGACAAGGAGAAAAAATGCATTATATCCATGACAATTGCCAAATTGGTTTGACTTTGTCGTGCGTGGCATCAAAACACCCTGCTTCCGACCGGCAGCCCGGTTCACACCAGATTTAACCGATCCTGGACTTCTTCATTCACAGCGTCACCTGACTAGTCTCACGGACCGCAGTCCGAGCGGCTAGCCAGCCGACCTGCTCCCGTACCTACCAGATAAACCAATTCCCCGATCTACCCCTCACCCTACAGCCGGAACTGGATCTGGGATCTGGGATCCAGTTATAAGTCACCGTTTGTTACGCCTGGGTGGTCTCTCTGTATCCTAGCTTACGTTTCTTCTTATTTTTTTTTATATGTCTGGTTCAAACTACGAGTGTAATTCGTGGCAACGGGTAGTTAGGAATTGCCGACTCTTAAAACGGACTGGTTACTTTCCCTATGACTGATCGAACTGGTGTCGCCTAAGCGTCAACCAGCTGTTGGCAAGCCGTAAGCGCGGCGTCGCCTAGCCGTAGCCGATCCGGACGTACCTACTGGAGCTCCTTATCCGCTAAAGTTACATCTTACGTAAGCTGGACGCCTCTTTAATGGCAAGCCAAACGACGAGTCATATCCCTTTCCGAGTTGATATGTGTGCTATGATGCTAATAGTGATGTTTTTAAAATAAATGTAATTTTAATTCTTACAAAAATTACTTGATTCCATAATAATAGTCATTATTAGTACCTGATGTATCGAAAATATTATTTGGGCATAAATTTTGATAGCAGGAATTTTCTCGCAGGTGAAACCCCACTGAGTACGGGCGAGACGCTAAGGCTGCGCGCAGATAGTACGGCAGCGGGACGCACCTCTGACAATCAGCGACCGACGTCTCTACGCTTGCAGAAAGTAGAACGTTCCGATCAAATCTTCAAAAACTAGCCACCACACCGACAATCATCACCTAGGTTATAGTTATATAACGTTTTATTTTTATATTATTTCTAGATGTCACTACCGAAATTGATTGCCGTAACAACTTAACGCTAAGACGACTAATTAGTAATTCGCAATACATAGTGTAAACCCGGCTAAGTGCAAAACGTCTCGCTCGGTGAGTATATTTCATAAGCACAGTACGAGAATACATTAGGCTAGAAGGCGAGCCTTGGATATGTGGCCACTTTACAAAGTGTCCGGGATGAGTCGCGATAACGTTGTCAGAACACGATATTTCCATTATGTATACGATTTGAGCTCTTGTTTACATGTTAAGATAGTGGCGCCGTGTGTAGGACGCGCGCTCTCGTTCGTACTATATTATATTACCAGCATTGCGCTTAGCCAACACGAACCACGCCCCGAATTCTTCAGTCACATAATAAAATCACCAATTATGTATGTTCATAGGTTTTTCTTGATTCCGTTTTTTTTAATTCGAAAGTTCCAGTTCCCACAATAAAGCTTTTGCTTGATGTATCGCGACTGGCCCTGTGAATGAACGTCAATCCAGTATAGATATTTTTTTTTAATAATATTAGACTTCAATGCTGATAGCTAACGAATTTTCATCATACAACGATTCAGGTCCAGAAAATAAGTAAATGAAGAATAAAAATCGATCTCATTGTTATGGAATTATGTGTACATTTAGAAAACTAAATATTGTTATCATACAAGGTATGAAGTTTTTGAGGATCATTTCATATTTTAGTTTCTTTTTTATGATTGGTTAATTATATTATTAATGTTATTTTCTTACCAAAGATAAGTTTCCGTTATGGATTTTACGGTTTAATATACACAAATGAGCTACGAATGTAGATATATTGTTAGTGATATAATTATCTGGTACTCAGAGTGGTGCAATGGTTAGTTAAGTACCTCTGTGTAAAGGTTAAACTGTTAAGACATTTGTAAGTTTGTTTTCTGCCACAGCTTCAGTGAATGTTGATCGCGATATATCTGTAATATAAAAATGTTTCCGACTATGCTAAAGATGTTGATGGTCGGCAGTTGAAAATCCTTAGATAAATGCTGAATTTTTTTCGAAGACTTAAATAACCTAATTATGATATAAAACAAAGATTTCTACGATAAAAGATGTATTTATGTAAAAATTTGAACTGTCATTTGTTAGAAATACGGCTAGAGTAAAATGTCAACTTAACTAAATCAATGCAGTGTATGAGAAATCAAAGTTTCCCTAACTTCTATGAACATCGACAGATTATTTCTTTTCGCCGTTACTATGTAAATAAATATATTTATTTAATGATTACAAACAGTGAAGTTTTATTTTTCCCCCTTTTTGTCTAACCTATTTGCTATACTAGGTACCTGTATATTGAAGTGCTTAGCCTGGTGATCTTGACAACTTACAAATTACAGAAAACAGGAGTCAAGTAACATTTCTCTGTAGCGAATTTACTTAATCTACAACAAACCCGCTACACATATGCGTGCTTTGTAACTAAAATTATTAAAAAAATACTAAACTAAAAAAATCATTAACAAAAGACATCAACGAAATCGAATAATATAATTAATTCATATGTTATTATTTACTACAAGCTGACCCGGCGAACTTCGTACCGCTTACAATAGGAGAATCTCGTTACTGTAAGCTTAATTTAAATTATAATTGTAAAACAACTTTAATAAACAAAGTACTTTAGTGGAATAAGTATATTAAAGAAAATTAAAATACAATAAAAGTACACAATCTCTTTTAAACAGTTTTCACTATCATCAAATATGTTCCATTATGTTTGGTTTAGATTTCGAAGAATGACCACCATCGAGCTAGGTTTCAGTTTTAAATATTACTCGTAAAGAGCCTCCTCGTAGGAAAATTTACTATCTCGATCTCCTCCGTGCTTCGGAAGGCACGTTTAGCCTTTATTCCCGGCTGCAGTCGTTAGCACCCACCAATCCGAACTGGGCTCGCGTGGTGGGTCATGGCCCAATATCCCTATTACATCCATAGGGATGACTTGTGCCCCAGCATTGGGGATATTGATGGGCTGATGATATTTTATTTTAATTGTTGGAGTTGATCTTGGCATGACTGTCACTGTTTAGGGGAAAATTTCAACCAGTAAACTAATTGCGTCTCAGAATGACCTCAAGTTATACACACAACGAGGCACACACGTCTCTAGCAAACTTTTAGCACCTGCTGGCGTCGAATTCAAATTAGAAGTAGGTAGTAATTAATGGTATATTAACGAAATATTCATTAAAAGTATGTGCAATCTGTTCTTTTGATTTAATTTGAATATTATCTACTTTAAGTGAGATTCCATCATCGAGTGTTCTTCCTTTACCAATTTCTCTATTAATAACATTCTATGGTGTTATTATTTTATTATTAGATTTCATGATTTTATTTAATTGGATTTGGCTGTTCCCATACCCTTTTCAATGTTTTTGAGTACCTTTAAACATAATCAATGAAACCTTGAGAGTGATTCTATTTCCTTAAGTGGTACAATTCATAAAGTTTATTTCTACTCTTATAAATACCAGACGTAGCCCAGTCACAGAAGTTCAACTTTTGAGTAAACTTCAAAGTTTTATGCGGAAAAACGTAACCAAATTCTTTCCTAATTAAATGGAACAGATTCCTATAAAGAATATTAGTATCCTTATGTGTCCATGACATTTTAATCATTTTACCATTAATATTGTATTGAAAATTTTCTGAATGTTTATTCGTTGCTGGCCTTAATTCAATGAATTTGGGCTTGTCAGTGTCATTTGTATTATATGTTATTTTGAACCGTAATGTGATGTGATACAATTAATAATTGATTTACTAACCGGATTATAATCTGTAACTATATTATCCAAACAAGTGGCTGAATGAGATGTTACTCTAGTAGGCTCAAAAAATTGATGTACCAAATTAAAAAATTTGAATAGTGAATATTAGGCGAATTAACAATTATTTTCAAGAATCTTTTTTGAAATGATTAACTATAACCAAAAACATATTTTTTTACATTAACTTTATTAATACATTCTCCATCACGGATTAAAAACACTAATGTTACCTAGAGGGGGTCGGTATACAAATACTAATATTATAATAAATTCATTTAATTCAACACAGGATAGCTCAATAATAAGTTCTACTGAGAGGCCAACTATGTCCTTCCTATCCTTAGTCTTTATATTTTTATTTACAAAAATGAATTTAGCACCATATAAAGCTGTACTACGAACATATGCAATCATCATTTGTAAATTATTAATGCTAAAAGACACCTCAGAAGTCTTAAGCAATGTGCACATAAACAGATAACATGAATATCCTGGCTCTTTGGAAACAGTTCTAATTCTAAATCCTTGCAAGGCAAACCTTGAATATCCTGATAAATAATATTATTATTTTGAATTTGGCTGTTGTCGTACCCCTCAGTTTAAAATTGAGTTGGCCACCCTATTCTGTAAATTAATTGTATTAGTGCTGACCCTAACACAATTTAGTTATATAGACTTTGTTATACCATTTATAACTGAGTTTTGTATATTGAAAGCTAACGAAGTAGCTATCTGAGCCTTATATTTTTTGCAAGATACAGAGTATCTGTAGTTAACTTAAATTTACTGATATATTTATGTATATCAAAATAGAAAAAAATGACACTATATAGTTAGAAATTATTAAATTCAAACTAAAGATGCGCTTGTTTAGTTCCTTGGTTAAGTTTTATAATTAAGTTTTTCTTTTTTGTTATATGCGAATTCGTCTAACGACTGTAAGCAGAGTTTGCAGTGTTTTAATGCTTCATTAAGTCAGATGTGGTTTCATTCTATTGTTACAGTAAAGGAAGTAATAGCATCAACTTTAATCAAACTTAAAAGTTAATTGATTGCGTCTCTTGAGTCCGGCCGTATGACTCACAGACGGAAATTATTTTTCCACTGGCTTAATTAATTAAAACTTATATGAGAAATAAAAATCCTACTGTTTTTTATTATCGTGCCCTGTTATCGACGTAAGAACACCGTTTTTTTTATTCAAGTTTTAAATCCACGCTTTTACCAAAAAAAAAACTGGCAACGATGGTTGAGACAAATAAAAATGGGGAATACGCTCAAATGTTACTTTTATACTTCTTAATTGTTTATTCTTCCATGGGAAAATTTAATTTACATTAAAAAGTCTCAACTATTAATACTTAAACTATCATAGATAGGTACATATGCTGTAGGTATCAGCGGTCAAATCTAAATCAAACAATTTCTCGTAGATTTGCTATCTGCCAGAATGTGCAAATGAAAATAGTATCTCTATTTTCACTCAATGTAACGATAAATTAGGTCATGAATTTGGCTTGGGTTCTCTTAGTAACGTGTAGGTACTAATGATAGCGTAAGAAAGCCTGTAAAGGAAAACTTTAAGCTTTCTGAACGACGAAGCTAATAGGTCTGGACGTGTAACACACGACCACTACAATCTTTATATGATTAAAAATACATTATACTTATGTATAGTCAAATATAAAGTACGAAGGTTGGATGGATACGTATTCTTTAAAAAAGTAATTGGTAGTCTAAATTGTCTCCACAGGAACATTTTCCCGGGATGGATACGACTAAATTATTTTTTTGTTAAAAATTAACCAGAGAAAAGCAAATAGTGGTTTCCCAAACATAAACTTAGCTAAAGTCTATCGTAGAATACGTAGGTACGTATGTAACTAAAAGCTTACAAAATGTAATTTTTACTCTATTGATTGCCAAATATGAAAGTAAATCGTTAATGAGATAAAAATAATAGTATTACTTTAATTGGATGAACTGACATATTTATTTTCCATGTTTGAATTGCTTCACTTAAACACCTATGTAGGTCACATAAGAAATACGGCATTAAGACCCGTTTACCTTATTGACTTGTCAGGACTTATGATTAAGTACCTAATCATAAATTTGTTACAATTTTGCATTCGTGTAATTCTGAATTGACAATAATTTGATTCTATTTTAATTTTAGAACCCAGACAAAGTATGCTG